CTCTGTATAATGTTGCTCGTTATCAATTAGACACAATTCCTTCATTGATAAAAACTTGTCAAACTGACTATCTGTTTTAATTCTTGGATTAGTTTCCATGTAAAGTAATGCTCATGGTTGCAGGAACATGTATTCATTGTGTGAGCGTACGATTACACTAATCATTCAAGATTGCTACATCAAGGCTGTGGGTTTTGGAGTTTTTCAGAAATTAAAGACAATATTGACTTCAAATCGGAAAAACAACTCAAACGCTTGACATAAATAAAAAGAATTTTACGGAGCGACGGATTTATAGTTTTCAGGTCAATTTGTTCCTGTTCAAGTTGGTCAAAGAGGTTGACAAATAACCTTAAAGATTCTTTTGTTCATTTAGAAGTCAATTTTTTTTATCATTGTTTACAAACGCCGGTAAATTTACTAAGCACGTAAAAAAATTTGCCGCTTTTTAAAGCAATTCAATCGATGGGTTCTTTTTATCATGAGTATCATCGGTAGGGCGACTAATTCGGGACCAAAAAGAATAGTGTTTTGTGTTAAAAATTGAAGTAAGGTCTAGAAAGCCTTTCTGTTCCAACAAAGGCAAGTTTCAATGTGGGCGTAGTAGTTTACCTAAAGCTGTTGTAATACGCAGGATCGCGCAATGCCATCAGTACTAGCAAACTTCAAAACTTGGTATCTCTCGTAAATGTCTGCTCTGTAGCATCGTAGTTTGGTTACTTTTTTATTGCACACAAAGTTAAATTGGTTGTTTTGTCGAATATCGTTTGATGGTTAAACGAGACCCTCGCAGCTTCCCAAACACTGAAGCAGACTGCAAAGAAAAGCAGTTATCAATGTTGCTATTCTGTTTTACGATGGAGAGCGGCGCGGAGCTTGACGCTCCAATTTGGGACTGCGCATCTGTTTATTGATCCGGTAGCACGATGCATTCTCAGGCACCTAAAGCAAAGTCTTTGTCTTTTGCTAGCTTGAGACGGTAATCTGATGGTAGTGTTGGAAATTTGGGCAAGGCCTTTTGTAGTGTTGCTTGTTATCAATTGGATACAAATGCTTAATTATTACAACCAATTCCTCAAGCTGACAGTCTGTACTACTTTTGTGATTAGTTTTCATATAAGTTGAAGCTCATAGTTGCTGGAAGCTGTATTCGTTGTTTAATTTACTTATTTTTGTTTCATCCGATGCAAGCTTCAGGTTTCTACACGCCCTGGAATAGTTGTATAGCTAGTCAGTTGATTTTCTTAACCTTGCAAATTCAAAACCGTGGAGTATTTAGAATTCTTCCTATTTCACTAATACTTCGTTCGGTATTTTTGCTCGAGCGAGACGTAGAGAATTACTGGAGTTAAAATCTGAAAAGTAGTTGTTGATCTCGAAATTGTGTGAAATTTTTGTACGAATGAAGCATGCTTGATGATAGCTCGAGGATCACTGTCTTCAACACTTTCCAAGTTATCCAGTTTTTTTCTAAAAGCTGTTACCACAAATTAACGATTACCACATTTTCAAAAAAGTTCGTCTATAAAATTACTTCCATAGCTCTCTACAATATCTTTAGCTTTCCCAAAGCAAAATGACTGCAAGTAGGTATTTTTTTCTACTGGTGTTAACCTTGGGTTGTTTCCTTTTGCTGTTTGGAAAAGCTCAAACCAGTTAACCCAGTCTTGTGGATTCCATTTGAAGTTCGGGAGCTTTATATCTGGGAATTAGAAGATTCTTAAGCTGTAGTTGATTGGGAGGTTATCGAGAACGAAATTCCGTAACCGGAGGTCAGCTTCACCATTGCACTCGAATTGTGAAGAAGTTGTCGTCACATGTACTGATTTGTTGAAAGGGTGGCGGAAGTCTTGAAACTCCCAGTCAAGCTATGGAAACAATAAGGCTAGTGTATCCTCGCGATAATCTCATATTGTCATGGATTTGATTCTGTTGCAGTTAACTGTTTACTGAATCTTGCGTCGAAGAAGGGAACAGCGAGCAAAGGTCGGTGGACATGCTTTCGAAAACTAAATCTTGGTTCTCATTATGATGAGAAGCTAAACCCAATTGTAGACCAATTGTTGTGTTTGCGACAGAAGTTTAACAACCAAGCACTGCGTATTTGTATTGCATAGTTTAGCGGAAGGCAAAGTAATTTGTGCTAACAGTTGAAAAGGAGGTGTCGAAACATGATGTTGAAGTTGGAACACTGTAGACTAAGCTGTAAGCAGTGTTAGAAATTCGTACGGGAGTAAAGGTTGCTGCTGATGTCGTCCGAACTGCTTTCTGCTGACTTGCCGTAACAAAGGAGTCATCGTTTTGAAACGTTTTTTGTAAAGTTTTTCCTATATGCTCAACTGTTTGAGTAACGAACATTTTCTTTTGCGTAGTTTAGAGTCCTATTGCAGTTTATTGTCAATATCTGTTTGTGGACAAGCAGATATTTCATCTGCGAGAACTTTTAGAAGCTCTATACACGCCTTTAATTCAGTTGAGATAGTTTTAACATCGCCAAGCTCCGTTGAATCTGATATCTTTTCACCGAGTTGCAGTTCTAGACCCTCAAATGATGCGAAACGATAGTTCTATTTGTTGAGATGTGACTGCTGATTTTTTTGTTCGATGGCTTGTTTGATTGTTGGTAAGCTGTTTAGGTGGTGCGGCTTAGTTAATGGGTTGTGGCCGCCTAATCTAGAGTTTTTAATGTAGAGCGCGAAATCAGTAGCTGTTTCAGACACGTGCGATTGATTCACGTTTAGTGGTTTTTTTACTCGTTCCAATTAATGCAAGCTGTCTGTAAATCCTGCTGGTATCACGCGCGTGCGTTATTCGAAAACGAAGTTTAAAAGCAATTAGGGAACTATAAATGATGAAGTTGTTAAAAGTCGAATATCAACTATGAACTATCAGGTTATTTTGCGGTGAAACTTGATCGAGGTTGCAGGTTTGTTCTTAGAGTGAAATGAATAAATTCCCAGACCTTACGGGCCACTAGTTTTTGAAAAAGTTTCGCTCCTGGTGTTCTCTTGTTTTTTGTACGGATTTTACGAAAATTTCGAGAATGGTATATTACATTTGTAAAAAAAAATGCATTTTCAAAGAAAATAAAAAAATTCTTGAATTTTTTTTTTCAAATTCTCTGTCCCAAATATAACCTACAGAAAAATTGTGAGGTAAGAACACTTTGGCAATTAAATTCCCAAAAAATTACTGCAAACGAAATGATAGTGAACCATGCTGATAATTTAGACAGAAAAGTTTCACAGATCTGTAGTATGTTATGGAAACGAGCTTCTCCATTTCTTAGTAAACGTCTTCCTATATTTTGTTGTAATTTCTAAACTTTTCTGTTTTAGCAAATTGGGGCGCTAAACACTCTCCGTTTAATAAACCGGGCCGAGGCCGAGGACTCAAAATGGGTATATTGCGACCTGTGCGGCCCAAATTAAGTATGTTGCAATCATTGCGACTCAAAACGGGTACGTGACAATTTTGCGCGACCGAAAATTTGTATGCGACTTTGCGCGACTCAGAAAGGATATGTTGCGGTTATTGGTTTGCGCGACCCGAAAACAGTATGATGCGACTACTGCGACTCAAAATGGGTATGTTTGTGCGACCGAGTTTTTTTTCGCGACTTTGCGCGGCCCAAAACAGGTATTTTGCAATTTTGGGCGGCCCAAAAAAAGTATGTTGCGACCATGAGTTGCGACATTGTGCGAACAAAGTATTTTGTGCGGTTTTGCGCGACCCAAAACAGTCATAATGCGACTTGGCGCATTCAAAAACACTATGTTGCAATTTTGCGCGACAAATTTTTTTTTGCGACTTTGCGCGGCCCGGGTCGATGTTTTCAATTGGTGTTTTGAACAACTCGGTCCAGGCTTGATTTATTTCAACCCCACCCCAGGTTTCTATGTTTCGACTTTATTCGACCCAGGAAAGATATTTCGATCAAGTTTGACCGAAAAAACACACTTGGGTTGAATTCGACCAAGAATTTTATACGGCCGGGAAAAGTTTCAACCTAGCGAAACAATTTCGACTGTGATTTACGCAAGGGTTTGCTCGACCGAGAAACGTTTCGACCGGAAAAGGCCTTTTCGAATGTGTTCGACCAAGGAATTTTGTTTTTATAATACTTTGAAACAATATGTAGGCCTCCTCGTGTTTTTCCTGTATATGATCAGCAATTATGTTGATCTAGCTAACCGCACAGCAAAAAATACATATATACCGGAATATTTTGCAATCTGCAGCTGTATTACGCTTATGCAAGCGAAAAGCTCGGACAAAAATTCCATTACTTAAACTGCTCGAAACTTTTCATAATGCGCGACCCATGTTGCGACTTTGCGCGACCCATGTTGCGACTAATATTTGGCGCGACTCATTTTGCGACTTTGCGCGACCCATGTTGCGACTTTGCGCGACCCATGTCGCGACTTTGAGCGAGCCATGTTGAGACTTTGCACGAACCCATTTTTAGCTATGTTGCCACTTTGCGCGACCGATGTTGTAACTTTGCGTGACTCAAGCCTCTTGCGGGAAGATGGAATTTTGGTCGCAGAAAGTCCTCGGCGCGGGCATCAACTCAATTTTACCAATTCAAACCTTGCATCATAATACAACTATATAACTTATCGTAATACATGGCATGGGAAAACCATACACGGAGCTGGTTTTTGAACGTCTGTCCAAGCAAAATTGAGCGGTTGGATTTTTCAGCTGTTCGATTTAAAAAGTCCTACAATTGGCAAAACGACGTTGGTACTCCATCTGTCCTTTTTTTACTCCGGAAAACAAAAGTGTCATTACTCCGTTTTATTCATGCTACGCCATTAAATTCTGCCGTCAGTGATGTGCTAGCTCATGCTGCTTTTGCGAAAAAAACGGTAATTTGCAAAGTGTTGATGGTATTTCTCAGAAATTAAACTGACGTTAAAAGCTCAACTTAACTCTGTTTATGTAACGTCTATTTTTAAAACTCAATAATATTTGATAGCTACGGAGTTGCAATGGTCGGTGTTTGTCATGTTACAATTGTGTAAAAGCAACGTTTGTTTCCAAAATTTGCGTTCTACTGTTCTATAGTTACAAAAATATTATTCAAATAAACTCACATACTGAAGAAGACTTATTTATAGGTAAGTAAATTTACATGGTGAATTCCCATAGGTTCCAAAATTCATAGGTTCCAAAATAAAAAAATCAGTCGCATAAGTTCCAAAATTTATCTTCTTGAATTCTGATTGGTTGAAATTTGAGCCAACGAATTTATGGATCGATTGTTTACTGTTCAACCAGCATTAACTCAAGCTGCAGAATAGTGACCGCCGCAGCCGCGCCAACGTGTTGCGAGCTTGCCACCAAAGGGTAGGACTCTATACGAAATTTAGAGCCGGTTATCGTCGCGGAAGGGCGACGCGCGCGTAGCGCGCCCACCGGCGACCTTAAACCGAGACTCGGCTAATTTAGTCTTTTGGCCCATTGAAAAGATTTGGAACTTATGCGACTGCTTTTTTATTTTGGAACCTATGGGACTGATTTTTTATTTTGGAACCTATGAATACGCACCATTTACATCCATCACCAAGTAAAAAAAAGTTCTATTTAGGATCAAACTTCAGATCTGAAATGGGTTAAAATAACGCTTGGTTTTCCTTAACATTTGGTTATTTCATATCTATAATTTCAGATCTGAACACGTGAGTTTAATGAGAATAAAACTACAGTGCTGATTTATTACGCTTATGTTTACTGAAAAAAAACTAGAGTGCTGATTTAAATTGGCCGGACATTACTAACATTTGAAACTTCGAACGCGTTTCTCTCGAATTGGGTTGAGATAAGATAAAAAATTTTGGGAACAGAGTTTATTCTTAGATTTTCAACAGAATTAACATGGTGCAATTTGAACTAAACTGGTGCAAGAAATAATATGGTGCAATTAGTTTGGTCCAATTTGTGCAATTACACTAAAACTACCAAGTTAATTGTTGAGCAAGTTATATCAAAAGAAGCCTCTAACACAACCCTACAATGAAGGGTAAAACTTCCAGAACTGTTTGAAACGTCTGAAATTTGTTTTTAATTTTGATTTTTTGAAGAATTTGATTTTTATATAGTAAAAATGACTTTTTTTGGCTTTCAGCGTTTTGGCTTTCTTCAAAGACTTCGATTTTTTGAAGAATTTGATTTTTATATAGTAAAAATGACTTTTTTTGGCTTTCAGCCGTAAATTTATTCTCTTATACAGGTTTTTGAAAGTTTTCCCCTGTGATACATTGTACGGCCGTGTAAGGGTCTTATTTTGATATATATATTTTTTCATCAATTAACTAGGTAATTTCAGCGTAAATTTTGATTATTAAGAAAAAAAGCCCCAATGACGCTTTTTTGGAAAAAAAACTTTGGTCGAGAAATTCTAAAAAATGCACCATATCACTTTTATTGAAAATTAAAGCAACTTTAGTTGACTTGTCTGTTGTTTAATCTTAACACAATATGATAAAAAAAACTATTCCTGTAAAATTTTTGCAGCGTTTTTGCGAAACTTATAATATTTTCTGCAATAATCGCTGCCTACTTGATGTCTACACATACTCACTTTTATACATTATTGCAAAATGATAACCCTCTTTAAAATAAAACAATAATACTCTTGTCACCCCCACCATAAACTTACCCCGCGATATTTCAGAGCTATGACAGTAATGATTCCCTCGGAAATCAGCGCCAAAACTTGAAAAAATTCTTACTCATTCTAGTAGCTTTAAAATGAGAGTGTGAGTTTTTAAGCCCTTAACGTGAGTATATCTGAGACTTGGTGGCGCAAAGGTAGCATACATGTCTACAAAGCTGATAGTTGTGGGAGTGAGCCCCCGTAGTTATCTATTTTTGCCCATTTTGATAGGGTTTTATTGGCCGTTTCATTGCTGGAAATTAGCCAAAGTAGCGATAATCTATCAATAAAATTTGCTATTGTGGCAATGACATCGATAATTCATCGACCGCGATCGCTATTTTTTTTAAAAGTTTTTACCGCTAATTGTCAATGTGAGCTCAACCCGGGAGGGCACATGCGACGAGAAGGATGTAATAATCGAAAGGTGAAAAAGGGGGAATTAAAACTTTTGAATTTAAAAAACGGTATCCGAAAAAAAAGAGAAAAAGGTATGAATAGAAAAAACAGAAAACCAGACACACGTTTGGTAATTTCAGACTCATTTTTGAAAAAGAAAACGACAATTTCAATCCTTTATATCCGATTGAAAATGATTAAAAATAAATTTTATAGCGTTAAAAAGCATTATCATTCATTTAATTTTCCTTATGAACCTTTTTTTAGAGCTTAAACAGACTTAATTTATACTGACTATATAAACATGATGGTTTTCCCTGTAACTTTAATGCGTAAATATAGTTTTTCTAGGGAAACATGCTCTAAAAAATTGTATTTCGAATCTTAATTTTAGATATGATTTTCCAGGTTTTTGTTGGTTATTTCAGATTTGAAAAAATTTATAATTCTGTCGCTAAATTAGCTATTTCACAACTTTAAAGTTTCTGATATACACTGGCAGATAGTTAGCAAAGTCCCAAATCGGACACTTCTGGAATATAGTTCCTTAAACACGGGAGAGACATCGGGAAATGCACGAATGCTGAAAATTCAAATTTATTGACAGGTTCCAAAGCGATTTTTAAAACCTTCCAAAATAGTTGGGGTAAAACGTAAGTATGTTTAAAGAAAACTGCTTTCATAGGTTCCTTTTTTAGATCGACCTAACTGATTTTTGAGCTCTCCCAAATTACTATCAAGATCCCATTTTTACCAAATTTTCTGTGCCGCAGGCAAATTTTTGAAAAAAAACACCAAAAAAGCGTTTTAGGCACTTTTTGCAAATTTTCGACCAAATTTTTTTTTTGGCGCGCGCGCTTTTTTAGATTCTTCAAAAATGGTTTCTTTAAAATCTGAAACTTTGTTTTTCATAGTTATTTCAGACCTGACTTTTTTTTCAGATTTAAGTTTCTGATTAAAAAACCACGAATTTCAAAACTGAAAAACAACAAGTAAGAAACGAGACTGCTCTTACATAAGGGCTCGTCTATCCGGGATTAGCATTCACGATGTGCACAATTTTGTTTTTTTTTCCTAAAACAATGATTGGTTCCATAAGCCGAAAAATGATAAATGTTTGTTCAATTTTATTATTATAGGTAAAAATAAAGACACTATTTTATCGGTTCTTACTGGTTCCACAATTTTTGGTAAAAATTTTTATAAATAACACGTTAGTGGAAAATTAATTCATTAGTGGTTGCATTCATTTCTACACTCTAATATATTCTTGAAAATTTTTTTAATGATAACCTAGTGGTAAGTGTTACCGTTTTATCGCGACTAAATCAGTTTGTTGCATTAAAAAAGAACTTCGTTGGAAACAGCGTTTTCAAACCTTGTAATTTTTTCCAGCCCGATATATTCTCGAAATCAAAAACGCTTAATGCTATTCATGTTTCGATCACCGTTTTGAAAAGACCCGGATCAGGTTCTGCGACTTATGTTCTGCCACTTATGCGAATTAAAATTTTGTCGCATCTATGCGATTGTGGTCTGCATTCGGACGCATTTACGACTTCAAAACAGAAAAATATATTTCAAGTTTTGTCGGATTTTTTTGCTCGCAAAACAGTAAACATGCAAATAGCAGATTAATCCGGCGATATGTGTTTTAACGTGAAGATAGCTTGACCAGCAATTTTGCGCATCATATACAGGACGCCCTGTGAAGGGTGACCGCTCGACTAGCATAAGAGTTTGAAAACATGAAAATGTACCGACTAGCATAATTTTGATAGCGGATCTTGTTAACTATCCCCCCCCCCCTATTGCATTAGGGGGGAAATAGAACTAGTTAACAAGGTACAAAACTCGTAATGTTTAACTGTTCAACTCTTTCTTTATAGGGAGGGGGGATTCGTTACAAGTTACCATTGGGTGGGGGGGGGGGGGATAGTTATCAAGATCCTTGATAGCTATAGCTATATTTCTCAGAAAAAAAAAACGAAAAATGACAACAATGAAGTCTTCGGCAATCAAAAATGAAGTCTTCAGCGGAAACCCTTGTAACCCAAGGACATTATTCATTATCATAAAAAAGATAAACATGTGATCATGCTAGGAATGCTATTGGACTTGAAACTGCAAACTTGGAGCAATTTAACCGCGTACTTGTGAGTTTATATCATGCTCAACGTGTAAGTGCAAAATATGCAAACTGAATGTTGTGCAAGGTAATTGGTGCCATTATTGTTCCGACTTTCGATACGAAAGTAACGGAATGTTTGTGCTCGGGGTGGTTTTTTTTTTCTTCAGACAAATTTCGACTTTTTAACTAGCCATTTTTGACGGAATTTTTCTTTATCATTCAAAAGGTATTGGTGCCCTGAGCTTAAATTTGAAAAGATATTTCACCTGTGATCATTTTTCGTAAAGTTATGAGGGTTTAAAGATTGCCATTTTGGCTATTTTGACCAATTTGGGACAATTAACGCGCGATATAATTCGCGCTATTAACGCGTAAGCGGAGATTTAATTCGTCTTATAAATCGTTCCAAATTGGTTGAACGAAGCTTATTTGTCATAATTTATTTGTTACAAGGAACGAAACATCTCTTTTTGTACTTTATATGTTGTGTGGGGGGATGATTTTCATAAAAAATTTCAAATTTTAGAAAAAAAAATTTTCATTTTGTTTTATTTCATTTAATTTTTTAATCTTATTACTGCTGCTCCATAAACCTTAAAAGGCGGTCGGAACATTCAGCGCTTCGCCCTGATACGAGCAGTCTTGTTCTTTTAATGCTCATACAACAATCTGTACACTTAAGTTTCTATTAGAAAGAAAAAAAACGCAACATATTCCGACTCTTTTGCAGTTTCCGCTCCTCCTCGTTAGTTTGCACTTTACAGTTGTGCTCTTTTCCAGTTTCTCCCCTTTCAAAATATCGAGTTTCAAGTTTGCCTTACGTGTTATTACTGTTAATGCTACATAGCATTAAAGTATGAAAGTATAGAATAAAGCCAGTATAGTTGCTTAGCAATATCAGCTATTTAGCTCAGCGTATACATAGTGCGTTC